TCTTCCTGATATAGCTGGGCTACAGCCCATGGGTCTCTAATGACTCACAGACATTCTAATTTTCATAATACCTAAGAAAACACCTCATTGAATCAATCACAATACTTTACCCTAATTGATACAATCAGCACCACAATATAATGAAGCACAATTTGCAAACTGACCACTTATGGTACTCATCAATCTATCACCTTCAAACCATGTGAATTAAATTAAAAACAAGAAGCAATCCAAAATATGCTTACAGTGAATAAACTTTTCAATAAGGACATTTACCATTTACAATGGGGGCTTAAAACAGAGTTAAGACAAGAGAAGGAGATAAGTAAAAGAATTAGAGAAGGTTTCATATGAAGCCAAAAGACGGAGAATGATCAGATAATTGTCAGGAAACTGTTAAATTCAAAAAGAACAAACAAAATGAAAGTATAATAACCCTTGAGTGAGGTAGAATAACATAAGAAAAGAACATAAAGCAAGGAGAAAAAATAATAAAAGAAGAAATCTGAGTTAGAACAAGAGGAAAAACAGAAAGGCAGATGAGGGATAGTACAGTGGAGTAAAAGACTGAGTTGGAGAAAGAAAACAGAAAAAGAAATAAAAAAGAATTTGCAGAGTGGAATAAAAAAAGAAAGAAACAAAAATGAGTTTGAAGGGCCTCTTTCAGACTATATCATGGCTGTCATAGTATACAATATGCGTTGGCATGTGTAGAGCCGAGTCCCCTGATCTCAGCTAGCTAATTCCCCACGACGCAGACTAAGCTCGGGCTGCAAGGCCCAGACTGAGTTCCCCGGCCTCCTGAAGGGTTGAACTCCACTCAGTTCTACTATAAGTTTCCCCCACCACTCCTTTAAAGATGTCCAAAGTTGAAAGTGCTGGAAAATACTCTTTATGACCACCACTGCCTCTACAGAGTAGGTCCAGAGACTGGCACAATCAGGAGGTCTAAAAGCGTGAGGGGGAAGGTTGGGGGGGTTCGGGGTGCCGGCGCGGCTACCTTTCTGGCGCTGAAGATGGCGGCAGCCGCGCTAGCAGGGGACCCGGCCGAGCAGGCCCTCCGGGCGCTGAAGATGGCGGAACTCCACCAGCGGGAGAGGGCGCGGCCAAGAAGACCCTCTAGCACACTGAAGATGGCGAAAGCAGCAGGAAGGAGAGGGCATGGGGAGAAGCAACACTGCATGTTTTGCTCAGAGCTTTCAACTATCTTTTATTCTTGGTGATTGAAATGAAAACCATGTCTTCCTTAGAATATTCTAATGTCTCCTTGTTTCTTGGCAGCTTTGTCTATTGCCTAGAATCCACCCTATTCTGTCTTCCACAAAACAAACTGACTTCTTTAAAAATCTGATGAATAACTGACGCTTGGGGTTTTCATTGGATTTTCATCATCTTTCACTGCACTTTCTCTTGATTTTAACGTTTATTGAACTGGAATACAGCTTCAAGAAATTTCTGAAGAGGAAGCTTCTGGGGCCAAAACATCATGTTGGAGAAAAGATATCTTCTTTGATAAAAGATGCTGGGAAAACTGATTATCCAGAAGCAGAAGATTGAAACTACACACACATCTTTTGCCCTGTACTAACACAATATCAAAATGGGTTGAAAATCTAGATATAAAAACAGAAACACTGAATCTACAGTATGATAAAATGGGCAGAACTCTTGAAGACATAGGCATGGACAAGGACTTTCTGAACAGATCCCCAGTTGCTGAAGAAATAACACCAAGAATAAAAAAGGGGCTATCAAATTAAAAAGCTTCTGCACAGAAAAAGAAATCATCCGTGGAATGAAGAAGAATACAGAGAGGGAAATTATTATTTTTTCAGCATATTCTCAGACAGAAGACTAATATTTAGAATACATAAAGAACTAAAAACAAATTAGGCTATCCAGAATGAAAGACCCAATAAAAAATGGGCAATTGAAATGAATAGACACGTCTCAGGAGAAGTACAAATGTCCAGTAAGTACAGGAAAGTGTATCGGATGTCTTTGGGTGTTATAGAAATGTAAATCAAAACAACACCAACATTCTACTTACTCCAGAAAAAATGGCTATCAGCAAGAACTCAAAAAAGCAAATGCTGATGAGGCGGCAGGGAAACAGGCACCGTTTTACAGTGTTGGTGGGAATGTAAACTAGTACAACCACTATAGAAATCAGTATGGAGATTCCTCAAAAAGCTATAGATAGAAGTTCCACTTGAGCCAGCTGTACCTCTTTTGGATATCTTCCTGAAAGAGCTGGGAAAGCACATTATGGTGATCATTGCATACCCAAGTTAATAGCAGCATGATCCATAGTAGTTAATTTATGGAAGCAGCCTACATGTCAGCAGATGAATGGCTAAAAAAATGTTGTATGTGTACACAATGGGGTGCTGCTATGCCATAAAGAAAGACAAATTAGAGTCATTTGTAGACAAATAGGTGTATCTTGAGACTATAGTATTAAGTGAAATACATTAGGAGCAAAAGATTAAATATTGTACTATTCCTATTAAACTGTTCCCATGACAAATCTAAAAAATAAATAATTTAAAGAGCAAAATGAAAGATGATAGGAAACAGGGACATGGGCTTTGTGGGTATGGGAAAGAGATCTGGGAATAAGAGGTAGAGGAGAGGGTTATGAGGGGAAGAAGTAAGATTGATTGAGATATGTATATGTACCAATTATTCAAGATGAAATGTGTTTGTTATTTATTGCAAACATGCAGATTTCTAAAAGAGAAACTTCCAGAGAATGATTCTATGGGAGGTAAATATTCTTTGACAGTTTAACTCAATTTTGAATTTAATGTCAAAATCAGGGTATTGATGGCACTAACATGTTTTCTAATATTTTACAGGGAATTTGAGGTGAAAACCTGAATTTTGTCCTTTGAACACAGGGTTGCCAAATATATATATAAGATGCTAAGTAAATTTGAACTTAACCAACAAATTGTTTTTTAGTATACGTAAGCCCCAGATAGTGTGCAATATTTCATGCCTATTATACTAATAAATTATTCTTTATATATCTAAAATTCAAATCTATGGATTCTGCCTTATTTGCTAAATCTGTCAACTGTATTTAAAGATAATTCCTCCTCCCCCTCAAAACAATTTAAGGACCTTTTTATTTTTCTTTCTGTTTTGAAATTTCTTTTGATGATGTATAAACATGGCCTTTTCAAAATCCAATGCTGTTCAGCTCTTGTGGGATCTTATAATCGCTTTGAGCTCCAGCAAACTTTCTTCTAGTATTTCTTTAGTAATTCCCTTCTCTCCATTTTATTAGTTTTCTAGAATCCTAATTATCTTGATACTGGGTTTCCTGAATTAAGTATTTATACAACTCATCCTTTTCCTTTTGTTTTCCATTTCTATTCTTTGTTTTGTGTCTTAGAAATTTATTTACTCAGTGTTCTATTCAAATGTTTTGGGTAATTAAACTTTAATTTCCAAGATGGGGGGGGATTGTTATGTTGGCATCTTGTCTTTGATGTATGTTAGTTCTTATGTCTCTTCAAGAATGTATAGATTTTGGATTTTGTTTTTGTTTAAATTTTCAACCATTTCCCAAGTTATTTCTATTTCTTTTAGGGCCATTTTGACTATTGCATCTTTTCCTTTTAGGCTGATATTTTATTCTCATGAGTTTGAAGATCACTATTTACTCACATTTAAGAATAAAGAAGAAGGTAAATGACTTTAGGTAATGGATCAGGTTTCCCTTGTTACATACATGTCCCCTAAGTAAAACGGATGACAAAGAGGTGCACACGTGGGCCTTAGAGTCTCAGATGAGTGTGAGCATGTGAAGCATGTGGAGTCTCCTAGATTTTAAAATGAGTATAATTCTAGGACCCCAATGCTAATGACTAGTTCTCCCTACAAAATGTATTTACTTATATATTTTTAGAAAAGAGACATACTTTTCTTCCCATGAGGCTAGAGCTTTGGTTTCAGGAGGGTGTGCTTGTCTCCTCCTCACATGGCTGTTCTGTAAACAGACTTTTGAATAACTTCTATTTTTTACTCCCTTTCTCACTCTTACATTTGCCTCCCATTGGCTTTAAATCTGGAATGTAATTTCCTCTTGTAATGGTTCTTGTCTGCAAATTATTGAAATTTTTTCTATCTCCCTCTTGTCTTCAAGACATTTATTGAAGTCAGTCAATGATCCCTTCTCGTTTTCTTCACTATTATAGGATCATTCTCCTAAAGAAGTATACTCTCAGGGGACCCCAGAGGAATAAAAGACAAATGCATGTATTCAGCGTATGATCTTGAACCAAAAGTTCCATCCTTTCACCTATTTTTGATGATTTCCTCTTGATTGTCCTTTAGTGAAATACATTGAATCGAAACCCATACTTATTCACCACTCAGAAGTTGCAACTCATGCTTTCCTTAAAATAATGCATCATACATGTTTTGAAAATGAAATGACAGACCTAGAATGGAACATCTGATCAATAAGTATTATTTCTCCTTTCATCATTTTCTTTTCAGAAGATAAAGCTCAAGTGCATTTCTACAACATTGGTGTAAACATTGAGATAGAGGTTGTTTTAAAATAATGAAAATTGCTACCCCTACTTTATGATTAGAAACATGAAACAATAAGAAAATTGTCATTAAACATTGGGAGTTCAGAAAAATTGATAATGTTCTTCATTCTACTGTAGCAAAAACTTTTCATCTTTCAAAAACTACAGTGGTAAGCTATGGTTATTAAACCATATACTTATTTAATTATGAAAACACACTGTGACTTATAGATGAGGTTCCTGAAAATCACAGGGTTTAAGAAACTTTCCATGTTATATAGCACATAAATCACTGAGCCAGAGCTCAAGGTTAGATATTCTGACTTCAAACGAATATCCTTTCTTTTACAGCACTAATTTAGGACTTTTAAAGGGAAATTGAATATGTGATAAGATAGAGCTGTGGTATCATATGAACATTAATGACTCTGAATAATATTTCATTTTCAGTAAAATTATATGCTTTAACAAGCCAAGTCATCAATGGTGAGATGCAGTTCTATGCCAGAGCAAAGCTTTTCTATCAAGAAGTACCAGCCACAGAAGAAGGCATGATGGGAAATTTCATCGAACTGTCCCACCCAGATATCCAGGCCTCGAGGGAATTTCTAAGGAAATTTGTTGGGGTGAGTTACCAAACTGCAAGTTGAGAGGGCAAAATCAGTGCAGACACTGAGCTCACATAACTTTGTGTTGTCACTTAAGCCAGGCTAAAGCTGTGTGGCCCAGCTCAAGGTCCAGCCTGATAGCCTGTTTTAAGGTGCTTAGAAGAGCTGGATCTCATCAAACCCTTGGTTATTCCACTTGGAATTTTACTGTCCTTGCACCAGTTAATCTTACACATTCTACAGGAAAGTGAATTAGCAGTGCTGATATTACTACTTGAGGAGTAAGAAGACTTCTCCTTCAAAAGATGAGAGATAAACAATTACGATGCTGATGATCAATGAGAAATCAAGATTTTGGGGATTTATGGTTGATTTATTTATTTCCATAATAAAATTAGGTGTAGTAAGAAAATGCATGCTTATATTCAGTTTAAAAATAGGGATGATAGAACCCTTTTGTGTTCTTTTATACATAGTTCAGATTTTTCCTTAGAAGAATGTGATTCCACTATAATCGTGGTTTTGTGTGAACCTCTGGTTCCTTAGTTCCAAGCCACATGGAGATGGACAGTAGAGTGTAGGGGTAAAATCATTATGCTTCTTTCACTTACTGTATGAGAAACTCTAGACTTGTTACCTAAATGCATGGAGCCTCAGTTTTCTCACCTGTGACTAGGGTTCAATAATACAGCTTAGCTTATAGAAGAATGTGAGATAAAATGAGTTAAAACATGTAAAGTAGATGCATAGGTGCACACAATTAGCGCCCAGGAGATCTAATTTATTGCTACTACCACTGATAATGAGATGTCATAGAATGTATTTTTATTATTTTTTATTAGGAATTGGACCCAGGACTTTTGCACTTAGCTATATCCACACTTAGCTATATTGTTTCTTTGCTTTGAGACAGGGTCTTGCTAAGTCATTAAGTTGCCCAGGAGGGGCTAGAAGATGGACTCCTTCTGCCTCAGGCTTCCAGAATGCTGGAGCAACAGATGTGTGCCGTCACTCTGGCTTATTCATTATATTTTAAGGAACTTCATTTGGTTGTATGAATCAACCTAACCTACCCAATAATGTTGCTGTTGGTTTAAGTGAAAACCCATTAATGACTCACTAGTCATTTATGGGAAGGCTAGAGCCTATTTTATTCTGATAAAGAAAATGTTTTGGAGTTAGGATGTCACCCTACTCAGAGGAATAGTAGGGAGACTTGCCCTAGTGCTGAGGTTTGCTTCATGCACAGCCTCCTTGGAGTATGTAGTATCCGAGTCCCAGGTCTAGCAGTATAGAAAATGTGACCAGGATGGAATATCTATGGGGACAAAGTGTCTGCCTGGACATCAGCTGCAGCCATAAAGCACGAGGAAGTCTGGGATGGTAGCCATGGATCTTTACCAGTTGGGCTGATCTGGGGTGTTTCTAAGCCAGTGCTGCCAATTTTATGGAATGTTCATCCCAACATGGCCAGTCACTGCTAAGCAGCTTAGAAGCCCTGTCTCATTTATGCTTCACAGCAATTCTTAAGGTAAGTACTATTATTAGGTCTATTTTTATAGTCGTGGAAACTGGGGCTTAAAGAGGTTAAATAAGTTGTCAAGGTTATCCACTGGTAAGAGACAGAGCTGAGGCTTAGAACCAGACAGCTCTGTCTGACACCAAAGTCCCTGCCTTTAACCACGACATATTTTTTCCATTTGTCTCATGAAGCAGAAAAATCCCTGCTTTTTTTTGGTGGGGGGCATAGACCTCAACTCTCCTCCAGTCTGGCCCAAACAATCACTCCTGCTTGCCTCATGGTGAGGCCGACTCTGATCCCCAAACATTTCAGAAGCTTAGTAATCCAGCCGCCCTGTCACTCTGTGGAATGCCAAGCTGACCACGGGGAAGCTGGTCAGACAGAGCCCAGGAGCTCAGCCACGGACCTGGGAAAGGAAGTCTGAGCTTGCATATTTATGTTGGAAAAGAGGCTGCTGTTCCTTTCAAACAAATATAAAGAGTCCTTCTTAGTAGACAAGGCCCATTGTGCAGCTGTGACCTCTAAGTACAAACACGGTCTTTTCAAAGGAAAGATATTTTAGTATATTGACCTTAATGATCTGCTAAATTTATATCTGGGTCAAGAAACAAGGAGTTAGGGGATAGGAGCATCTGATGTGATTTATTCTTATGTCAGCTGGGAAAGGGGAGACCGTTTACTTTAAATTTTTGTTTTCCTTTCAACACTTAGTGACATGGGACAGTGAGAAACTTGTTTAATCTAGTTGCAAATGTATTTACTCCAGGAAATAAATAAATAATACCAACGTAATGTCAGTGGTACAGCTGATAACTTTCCTCAGCTTTCAAGTAGGGGAAAGAAGCAATTCATAAAATATAACCACTGTCGATTGCATTTAGCTTTTGACGTTTCTCAGAGATTGGCTGACTAACAGATCTGGATCTAACTTGTTATATTTCATGGCTTTTATACAGAGCCATCAAGTTCTGTCATTTTAGTTTTTAACTCGATTAGATGAGCTTAAATAACGTTCTTCAAATCAAAACACATGAGCAGAATCAAAACTAAAATGAAATTACTAATAGTATTTTACTATTTTATATGCGTCCAGAAATACGAACATAATATAATACAAGAAAACAAAACACTTTGCTTTGAGACGCCACATTGCGTGTAGCTCTCGTCACATCAATACAAGGGCATCAGATGTCAGTGCACCGGCTTCTGCAGCTGCGGTCCCCAAGGGACGAGCAGTGCAGTCTGGAGATCAGCCTTTAAATGTCCCTTCTCAGCAGAGCCGCTTGTGAATGAGGCAGAAAAAGAACAGTGGTGCCAGGACGCAGGAGGCAGTGCCAACCGCATGGAAGGAAATGGAAGGAAATGGAATGAAGAGAACTGGGCAGGAGTGGGGAGAGGCTGGAGGCCAGAGCATCTGAGGAAAGGCATGGGGGGATTGTAAACAACAGTACTTTCAGGAACAACTGTAGTCAACATTATACATCTAAAATGGTGAAAAATACACTCAGAGGATAAGACTCTTCAAGGACATCCTGCTTCAACTATCTCACCTTCCTGGGCCTCAGTTTCTATGGAAAAGCAGGGAGTGAAACACCAGTGATTTAAAAGCCCTAAGATTTTGCTGAGATTCACTAAGGGCTTCCTTGGAGGAGGATGAGAAGGCTCATGGGCTAGGCCCAGCCTCGTTTTAACCAGAGTAGCCTCATGTTTTTGAATGTCATGAAAACAGAAGAGTTCATCCTTTACACCTTTTTTCTTTTTTCTTTTTTTTTTTTTTTTTTTGGTACCGGGGATTGAACTCCGGTCCTTGCGCTTGCAAGGCAAGCCACCGAACCACTGAGCTAAATCCCCAGCTACACTCTTTTTTAAATTGAGTTTATTGGTACTTCTAAAGTATACAGTACAGTTACATTCATCATTGGGATCTTGTATCTTTACATGACAGGTCTTGGTTCTAATTTCTTCCCCTTGTCCCTGCCCTCCCTTCACCTCGTCTTCCCTTCCCTATGTACAAAGACTTTGTTTCCATTTTTTCCTTTTCTCATATTTTTTCTTTTCCCTTCTTTCCTTTCCCCTTTCCTTCCCACTTCCCCTACTCCTTTAGATCTTTTCTTCTCACTTCACATTTTAAAAATCCTCTGGCATAGATCTGTTAGTTCTCTCTGTTCTATTCCATGGTTCTACTTCTAAAACCACCTGCTATGTTAATGCAAACAACATGGTCAATAAAGACTTTCAGAGCCAAGTAATTATATGAAAAATTAATCATAGAATCTTTGATGGAGCATACAAATTTCTAATAAAGTCACTTCTTGTAGCCTCAGATAATTTCTCCATACTTCCTCACATCTTATATTATAAATTTCTTTGGAAGATACTGCTTTTACAGTACTGTACAACATAAACTTTGGCTTAGGCCATTTTATGAATTAATTTAAATTTTAATATTTGAATGAAGGAAATAGTCTAAGTAGAAATGATCAATGGCAGTACACTATTGCTTTCCCCTTCCTATACTTCAGGCAGACATTACTAATCAATCACTCGTAGATCCCTTTCCTGCTGAGTCTAAATCAGACAGACACACAAGCACAAATACTATATAGTACCTCTCATTTGAGTAAGGTAAGTACAAAGAAAGAATGTAATAAAGAATGAAAAGATGGAAATAAAGTGTTTGTAGATGGGGAGGGAAGGAGGGGGTGAAGGGAGGGCAGGGACAAGGGGAAAAAATGAGAGCCAAGACCTGTCGTGTAGAGGTACAAGATCCCAACAATGAATGTAACTGTACTGTATCGCTAAAGTGTACCAATAAACTCAATTAAAGCTGAAAAAAAAAAAGAATGGATAGAAGGAAATAAGAGGATGTATCTCTTGCGAATGGTAGGTGTTCCAGGAGTCTGAGGGCAGGGGAGGGGAAGAGGAAGTAAGCGAAATTAAGACATGCCACGTGCAGGAAACTAATAATCTTAATGAAGGTAAACATTGTATAAAAATGAGCTAAGAAAACTAATAAGAAGAATGAAAATGGGGAAAGAGACAGAGAGGGGGAGATGGGTGGGGAGGGAAAGGGAGTTACAGAAGCAACAAGCTGTATTATGTTCATGTTCCTACTCCCCAAGATGAATGTAACGTTTACGTACTGCAAATATGAACTAATAGTAAAAATAAAATAAAAATTTTAAAAACGAATGCTTTTGAATATAGCATTAGTCAGTATCAAGAATCATCGTTGTCACTTGAGCTGTTAATGCAGAACTGGCTTTAAACACAGTTTCCGTCTCAATTCTAGTTGTGCTATTAGCTCTGCAACATTAGCACCTTAAGCTCACTCATTTCCACAGCGGCAACAATCATCCTCATCTTGTGGAGTTTTAAAAATTATGATAATTCAGATAGCTGTAAAGAGCTTGCTACACACCCACTTGTGGTTACTTTTCTATTTGAAAAGGTGCAATCACTTCACTTTTTTTTTTCCTCATTGTACCTTCCTAGCATACGGAGAGCCATTAGGATGGACCTGAAGGCAGTGTTTTTGATGTTTCCCTCTGCTCATACTTTACTTTGATCCTTAGCCAATTTTTCTTTATCCTCAGTTCCTGAGAAATCAAGAGTAGGCTTTCTCATTAAGATCTTGATTGGTACCTTCAAGTATCTTGTTACTATAATTTCTAGCATGAAGTCCATTCAGCAGTCATCCCAATTATGGCCAAATAATTTAGGCCAGCTGAATCTTCATAATTCAGAAAACTTCAAAAATTGTATAGAAGCAAGTTTGAGAGAGTTTGTACTGGCTAATTTTTCACGACCCCTACTTCCTCTCCAAAATCTCTCCCAGTTAATTTAATGCACAGACTTACTTTTAACAATTTTGCAGTAAACATGTAGTTTCTGGTACAAAAACCAGAAAGTTTTTAGCATTAAAGGAGACAAGGAGGCTGCTGGAATTAATCTTGACCCATGTGAACATGCTGTGTGCTATGAGGGATAGATGTGACATTTACAATCCCGGCCAGAGAATGGTACAATTGGAATACTCAGCTCAGGTCCCAAAATTCACTACCCAAATAAGAGAAGATAATTCAGAGTCCCCAAATCCAGTTTTAAAACATAAAATTTCAATCATTCCAATATGAACTATTTCAATTTATAAAACTCAGGAAGTAATTCTGAATCTCAAAATGATTCTCACTGCTTTCCATCTGCCTCCCACACCCCCTTTCCCCCACAAATTAATAATCTATAGTGCAGGTCTATGTAACTGTGGACTTAACCCAAAATTACAGTCATCAAAATCCTGTCTTTGTAGGACTACCAATGGCTCATTTATCCTTTTTCTTGGAGAGAATTACCAACTGTTTAAACAAGATATTACTTTAAAAATAGTTTGTGATTTTCTTAAAGACTTATAATTAGGCAAAATAAAATAGAACTAAAGATGTTTGGGTATTTTGGGGGGAAAGGTAATTAATTGTTTTAAATCTTGACTTTGGTAACGATGGTTATATACATTTGTTCAAACGTATTGAATTGTAAACTTACAATGATACAGTGTAATGTATAAAGTTGACCCAAATAAAGTCGAAGGAAAGAGGTCAATGGGGTGTCTGCACCTCAGGGTGAGACTGTACCGAAGTGTCCCACAAGGTACCTTTCTGCAGGGACCCAGGAGAGCGGGAACCGACTGTGCCCTGGACTGCGGCTCTGGGATCGGCAGGGTCAGCAAGCACGTCTTGTTGCCCATTTTCGACAGAGTGGAGCTGGTTGATATGATGGAGTCTTTCCTGCTTGAAGCCCAGAACTACCTGCAGGGCAGAGTGGACAAGGAAGAGAGTTACCACTGCTACAGCCTGCGGGAATTCACTCCCCGCTTCGGGAGATACGATGTCATCTGGATTCAGTGGGTGTCAGGTCAGTCCTGCACGGTGTTGCCTGTGCCCTTGCCTGCTTCTCCACTGCAGAGACAGCAGTGGATGAATGAGGATGTGGGGGGAGATTCGCTTAGTTGTGCGTAGAGCAGTTAGTTTGCCCTAGGTGTCATGTGAACTCCCAACAGCTCTGGTCCCCAGATCTCTCTCCTAACACTCTGTGCAAGCTTGGTAATTCAATTCCATTCATAGGGATGGAGCAAGTGCCTTTGGACCAACCTACATCCTTGAAGAAACGTACTTAAACCTTAAACAACTGGATCCAAAACATGGTTCATCTCCACTCATTGGCAGAGCTAGGCATTCTTAGATTTCAATTCCCAGGAAAGCAGTGAATTTGATTGATGGCAGTGTGTGTGTGCATGAGTGTGTGTGTGTGTGTGTATACAGCATGGAAGAGTCATAATGGAGCTGAGCTACCCAAGCGATGTAGAGGAACTCATGGGATGGAGCAGTACCTCACATCTGTGGAGGATATACACCTTCTGTCTAAATTTCCAAAGACCCTTGCAGCTAAAACAATTTGGGCTATGAAATAAAGTGTGACTAGGGGAGTAAATATCTGGTCTTCTGATTCTGAGCCCTGTATTCTTTCCTACTCACTTCCTTCCTTCCTTTTGTTTTAACCTGTTTTCCCCACTTGGCCCCACCTATAGGACACTTAACTGATAAGGACCTGCTTGCATTCCTTTCCCGGTGCCGAGATGGCCTGAAAGACAATGGCGTCATCATACTGAAGGAAAATGTGGCCCGAGAGGGCTGTGTCTTTGACCCCTCCGACAGCAGTGTGACTCGGGACATGGACATCCTCAGGACCCTCATTAGCAAGAGTGGGCTGTTGGTGCTGGGCCAGGAAAAGCAAGAGGGCTTTCCAGAGCAGTGCATTCCTGTGTGGATGTTCGCACTGCACTGTGGCAGACTCTCCTGAGCAGAAGTGGAGTGGACAGCTGGACAGGACAGTGGTGCTCTGGGACAGGATACTTCCTCCACAGTGCCCCTTGGATACAGACAGGGATGGAGAGAAGGGAAGGGAGCAAGTGCATGCTGGGAAATGACTGGTGATGCAGCACATACAGGTTTTTGGTGAAGAGCACACACTCTGACGTGCACATAGTTGCAGGTGCACACTGACATTCTAGAAAATGGAGTGAAACCTCAGGAAGAGGGCTTTAAGAGACTCTTTGTGGAAATGACAGATGGCATTACACATAATTAAAAAGCTTTTGTATATTAAGGAAACAATAGAGTGAAGAGGCAATCTACAGAATGGGAGAAAATTTTGGTCAGCTATTCTTCTGACAGAACAAATACAGCTCAAAAAGTTTAACACCAGAAGAAAAAGAAATCCGGTTCAATCAGTGGGCAAATGAACTGATGAATGTACTCACATGAAGTACAAGTACACACTATATGTGTAAAAAAAAGGCAATCTCTTTAATCATCAGGGAAATACAAGCCAAAACTACACTAAAATGCAACCTTACTGTAGTCAGAATGACCATTATCAAGAAAACAAAAACAATGAATGCTGGAAAGGATGCAGGGAAACAAGAAAGTCTCACACTCCGCTGCTGGGAATGCACTCTACTAAGCACTATGAAAAACAGTATGGAGGCTGCTCAAAACACTCCAAAGAGAGCCAGATGACCCAGCTATTCCACTGCCACATATTACATGAAGGATCACAGCCGACATGCTTTGGAGACACCTGCTACCTGTGTTTATTGTGGCATTATTCACAATGGCCAGGTTACAGAAACAGCCCAGATGCCCGTCAAGGAATGGCTGGATAAAGAAAATCTGGCACGTATACACAGCGGGTGTTCTTCAGCCATAAGGAGACGTGAAGTCATGCCACTTGTAGGAAAATAGATGGAACTGGAGGACATCATGTCAGACAAAATAAGCCAGACTCAGAAAAACTAGTCCTGCAAGTTCTCTTTCGTATGTGGAATCTGGCAGTGCAAAGATGATGGGAGAGCAGCAGAAGGGATACTATAAGGAAGGGGGGGGGGCTGCCCGGAAGGGGATGGTCACAGAGAGGGTAATAGGGAGATGGGTATGATCAAAGTACATTACTGGCATGTGTGAAAATGGCAAAATAAAGCCCACTGTATTGTTCAGCAATATGTGCTAATAATTATAATAAAGAAATGAATTCCTTGCATACACCTGACCTGTACAAGTGTGCATGAGAAGGAAAAGAACACATATTCTAAACTGTCTTAGTCAGTGGTAACTATTTGTGCTATCCAGTAGTCCAGGGTGGGCGGAAGAAAATCTAGACCACTGTCCTGCCCCAGTGTCAGTTTCATCAGGTTCCTTACCCTTTGGTGCTGCTGCTTCTCTGGAAGGAGCGTCTTTCCCTAATTAAGAATGCAGGAGTCAAGTGAGCTTGTGAAAACAAACCTAGTAATTTTGTCTTTAGCCCTTCTCTTGGCAGAAAAGGTAGATGGTTTCTCTTTCTGTTTTGGGTCAGTTTTACTACCCAGTGATGTAACATGGATGTAATTTGATAAGAGTAGCCTGCATTAGAGCAATGGGAAGTATCTCCTTCCAGGAGAAAATGCTGTACCCTGAGGTTGCAGCCTTGAACTTATAAGTAAATGCCATTGATAATCTAATTTTAGCCACCCTCATCACTGCCCGCATCTCAGCTGCTCCTGGATCCTTGTTTGAATGAATATATATGTATTAGAAATTTGCCAAAGTAAAGAGGCATGGAAACAATAAACTGAAAAGTGAACCAGCTGGATTAATACAGGGTTGGTTTAATTAAAAATAATCTAAGGTACTATTCTGCCAAAAAGGAGGTTGAACTTCACTCGTTTGTAGGAAAACAGGTGCACCTTGAGACCATAATATTAAGTGAAATAAATCAGACCTATAGACTTAAATATCACATGATTTCTCTTACACGAGAAGCCCAAAGTGATTTAAAGAGCAACATGAAAGTAAGCTAATAGGAAACATGGAGGTAAAGCTTTTCCAAGAGTCAGAAGGAGAGGGCAGGGAGGGCTGGGGAAGGGGATGGAGAAAGACTTACAATGAGCTGCACGGACCAGCTTCCCCCGATGAATATAATCACTATGTACTGCCAACATCTACTAATACAGTTTTAAAAATCTAAAAACTCTCACAAATACAAATGAAACTTAACTTTTACTAACAGAATGTTTAAGTGCAATGGCTGCCACCTTTAAACATCCCAGTATCTTTGTGTTGAAGTACAGATTGTGTTTTGATATATATTGAGTCTTCCATGAGCTTCAAGGAGTCAATTAAGTAAAGAAGGCTGACTGCATGGCTCTGCTGTCATCATGAGAATCATATTTCCAAGTCACAGCTCTAATCTAAGAGGAAAGCAATTCTTACATAACATTTGTTGTCTTGCATTATCTTGGCTTCCTCTAGCATGCTCCAAAATTATGGCACTTTTCTGCCTGATGCACCTTCTGGTTGTTGTGGTGACCCTCCGTCTTCAAGGGTAAGGTAACAGAAGGTGAGTCAAGACCAGTTGGAGCGAGGCAGAAGTCAGAACCAGATCAAATGGTGAAACACAGCCATAAAGACTGCATGTAGCAGAAAAAAGATACATGTGTTCGTGTCCTCCATAAGCTTTCAAGCAAATTAGCAGATGCTTTATTGCAAGCTATCCTAGGGATTTTTCTATTTTTTTAAAAAAATACCAGGACCCTTAATTCTCTTACCTCTTTACTTTTCCAATACTCAGAAGCTGACCTAGCTGTACATTTTCTCTGCTCTTGAGTTCTTGAGCTTATGGAGAAAATAATGGTCCTGTGCATTCCGATATACAATCTTCAACTTAGTTGTGTCTTTTAGATTCATGATGAGTCCCTTTTCTTTTTTTAAGTCAAGTCACTTACCGTTCTTTCTAGAAATTTTCCAGAAATTTTCTTAGAAATTTTGTGCTTTGCATAAACCTTTTTTTTTTTTTCTGTTTGTTTGCTTTTTTGAGACAGGGTCTCACTATGTAGTTGAGACTGACTAGGAACTCACTATGTGGCCCAGGCTGGTCTCAAACTCACAGCGATTCTCCTGCCTCAGCCTCCCAAGTGCTGGGATTACAGGCATGCACCACCACGCCCGGCTCTGCATAAACCTTTCAATACCATATCCATCTTTAATTTAAGGTAGAAATGGGAGAGTAAGTTGTACCTCTCTGAACTGTTAACAATATGTACAGAGTAAGAAGAAAATTGGTTTGAGAAGAATTGAAGCCAAATCATGAGCTGAACAGGGACATGTTAAAGTTTTGAATATGCTCAAAGCAGAAGCAGAAGTCCTTGAAGGCAACAGGTCAGTGACTGACTTTCCCAGTCACAGACACTGTGGAAGGAAGATGTTTAGTGGGAGACCTACTCCAGCCACCTTCAACCTGATTCTGTAAGCCAAGCACATTGTTTATGTTTATCGACACAGTAGGAGGCTAGCGGCATGGGTGACAGTCTATGTTCTTCCTCAGTTCCTGGTCCATGATGCAGCTACCTCAGAATTATTTGGAGAAATGCATAACTACTTATGCATCCCTAGGCTTCAACTCCATGACAGTTTGGTTCTATGAAGGGAGATCAGGTAATTTTTGTTTTTTGTAAGTGCTCCAGTTGATTCTGAAAATTTGTTTTAGGACACTGATGAAGAGAGAGGCACAAAGCTGAGCTCTTCAGAAAGACAAGGCAGGGCAGGCAGGTGTACAAGTTAGGTTTGGGAAAACAGCCAGATGATAAAATCCATTCTCCACGTTGATGCCAGTGTTTCTGAAGTACAAATCTGACCATATTTTGTTGTGAGTTCACGTTGCTTTAGAATGACATAGAAAGTGAAATAAATCACCAGCTTTCCCTGGCTTAGCCCTGGCTTTCCTCTTCAGCCTGTTTTACCAATCCCTTCAGCTGTACTTGACAATCTACAGTTCCCTGAAAGAGTCATGGTTTATGGCTCAGGGCACTTATAGCGTTTACTTCCTCAGCAGAGAATATCTTCCATTATTTTGTGTCAGGCCCAAAATGTGTCAGGTACGGAGTCCTAGAAGCTTCCTTCATTCTACCCCCTACCCAGCTGCTGAGCTCGGTGTCCCAGTTCTGTGCCACCTTCTGCTCACTATATCACATCACTCACCATGTGGCATCGTAATCATCAGTTTACTTGCCATTTCCTCTATTAAATTTCTAGCTCCCTGAGGGACCAGAGTTTCAGTCCAGTTCATAGACCTTAGCGTACTGGAGGATCTCAAAACTTGGGGAAAGAATGCTAAGTGGTATTAAGAGTAGAAAGACCCAGGGAGGTCATAATTTCTAGGGGCCAGAGCAAAGCATCAGGAAAAACTAAGGGCTTGTGAAGTCCCACAAGCATAGGGATATGCAAGGTCAGTCAAAATGCCGAACAGACAATGCGAGTGGTGCAATCCAGGGACAAGGCAGGCAGCCAAGAGGAGTCTGTAGCAAAAAGATTAGGCCCTACAGTAAAATCCCGAATAACCAGGGAACCTGTCCCCTCCACCTTCTCTCTCTCTCTCTCATAGGTTCCAAGGCAAAAATATGGCCAGCCTCAAGTCCATACTTCCATCAGGCGAGTGTGTGTACCTGACAGGAGAAATATGTTAAAATAACCTGTAGGTTATAACAAAGCAACGCCTAATCCTCACTCATCTCTCACTGAGCAACACGTCCAAAGAAAGGCAATGAGGTTATAGATGAAGTCAGTCCTCGGAGGATGTTAAATTGCAAGTGTGTCTATAATTCTGGATGAACTTCAGAGGACCCCTTGGCCTGCCAGTGATCCATGCGTGTGTGCTACCTTCACCATTTCTTCTGAGAACTTGGGCCACCAGTCCTAGGTGCCACGACGCATCTCACACACCACATCTTATAAGGTCAGAAATTTTCTAGATTTGGGACCATCATAAAAGCATAAAATAAAATGAATAAGGCCATCATGTGAAGGGTGATCTGGTTTGCATTATGGTCATGTTTTGGCCCCATCGTTGTTTCTTTCTGTCTCCATTATTTCCCGTAGCTGGCCTTTGAGTGATGTATTGGGGAGAAGGTCTGTGTCAGATATACTCAGCTGCCTGTCATGAGTAATTAAAACCAGTTGTGTTATTGTTTTCCTTAGCTCCAGCTGATTCTTTGATGCTTTGGTGTTGATGCCAAAAAACTACCTCGTATAATCATCAGAGGCCAGTGTTTTTGCAGAGGTCACTGCGAACTAATTAAGCAAATATGTGAAAAATAGCTATAAATTATCTCAATTAGTAGAGTGTGTCTTACACAAATTTAGAGAGGGGATCGAGGAGAGGCCTTTAAAG